AGACAGAAAGCGAGAAATCACCCCCCAGGGGGGATGGTCATGCCGCAATCCCTTCTCCTCCATTCTTCTCTCGGGATCTTGGACACGCATGCACACGAGCCCGGCATGGGTTTTAAGCCACTGGGTCCGGGACGCAAACCGCAGTCGACTACGTGGGAGTCCAGCGACATAGCCATTACGCTGACTGCTGGTTCCCAAGGAACTTTTTTTAATGAAATCGTAAAGCCGATCTTTATAGAGTATGTCTGTAAGCTCTTTGTAATGATGTAAAGCACAAGACATGTTTTTTCAAATTAAGTTTGTATGACAGTCTTAGTATTAGAGGACTAAATACATTATGTTTTTAATATTGAACAAAAATTATTAATAACTTTTTTAAAAATTTCTATTCATGTGACCAGCAGTTAGCATGGCTATGTTGCTGAACTCCCACATGGTCGACCACAGTTCAAGTTCTGGAACAGTGGCATAAACTCACACTGGGGGCATGTGAGTGCATGCCCAAGTACCCGAGAGGAGAATGAAGGTGAAAAGAGTACGGTGTGTCCATCCCACCTGTGGGGATGATTTCTCATTTTCATCTATAGGTCGCTCTGTCTCTCAGAGGAACACATGCACCTTATAACAACAACAACAAAAAAGTCTCAAAAAAAAAACTTCAACTGGGGCCAGCAGTAAGCATAATGCCTATGTCATTAAAGTCCCATTGAGTTGACCACAGATCGAGTCCCCGTCCTGCTGGCTTAAAAATAACGTGGGGTACATGTGCGTGCGCACACAAAATCCAGAGAGGAGAACAGAGGAAAAGGAATTGCGATGTGGCCTTCGACCATGGGACATGATTTCTCACTTTAGTTCTTTCTGTCTCTCTGTCCATCAGGCGAGTGCATGTGCACCATAAAAAAACAAAAACAAAAACAAAAACAAAAACAAAAAATTTCCAAAAAAACAAAACAAAAAGCTTCTTTTCATGTATGGTTCTAAGGTAAGAGGGCATTCATGAAGAATTGATTCCGATATGGAATATCCTATAATGCACTTGAGCATTCATCTACGTGCTGATTGAAAAGGTGACCTGTCATGCACAGATTAGTCTTAATCTCTGACATAAAAACCATGCCGACACTGAAGGCGGACTGAAGAGAACTTAGGCTTTGGGTTCTTCCTTATCCCCCAGTATGGCATGCGTGCTCTCCAGAGACCAAAACATGGGCGCAGGGTTTAGAAGACATCTTC